CTGATCCAGACTCTCTGAGGGAGAAACACACCTCTAGAGCTCAGGTCAGTGACTGCAGATGGAGACGTCGAGGTGTGTGTGTGTGTGTGTGTGTGTGTGTGTGTGTGTGTGTGTGTGTGTGTGTGTGTGTGTGTGTGTGTGTGTGTGTGTGTGTGTGTGTGTGTGTGTGGAGAACAGGGTCACATGAGAGCAGCAGATGAGCAGTGTGTTCTGGAGTTCTCGATGGGCTTTTAGTGGCTTTAAAGTGAAGCGTGATGAACTGCAGGAGGCTCAAACACTAAACACTCTCCATTATTATGTTTAAACCTGATTGACGTGTAGAAAACAAACTGCTGTTGTTCTGTCTGTGTTTTTGGGTGTATACACACATAAATGACTTCCCTTCTCCAGATGTTGCACTGTGTGTGTGTGTGTGTTACACCTATACACCTGCAGGGGGCGACACATGACCGTCTTTGAGGGATCTTATTATTATTTAATCTCACATTCTGCTTTTATTTCTTCTGGTCACTCTGATCATGCTTTAATATTGTTTTTCTATTCAGTTGTCATAAATTTAAGTCATAAATATAATGTTTTGGCGTAATAATGAGATATTGTGTGCTTAAAGATGTGTTCTCCTATGAGGCAGCTATATATTCTTGATATTTATATATACACTTTATTAGGTACACCTGACTAGTACCGGGTCAGACCCCCTTTTGCCTTCAGAACTGCCTTAATCCTTCATAGGTCCAACAAGAGATTTTGCTCCATGTTGTCATGATAGCATCACACAGTTGCTGCAGATTTGTCGGCTGCACATCCATGATGCCAATCTCCCGTTCCACCACATCCCAAAGCTGCTCTATTGGATTGAGCTCTGGTGACTGTGGAGGCCATTTGAGTACAGTGAACTCATCGTCATGTTCAAGAAACCAGTCTGAGATGATTGAGCTTTATGACATGCTGCGTTATCCTGCTGGAAGTAGCCATCAGAAGATGGAGACACTGTGCTCATAAAGGGATGGACATGGTCAGCAGCAATACTCAGGTAGGCTGTGGCGTTGATGCTCAATTGGTACTAATGGACCCAAAGAAAATCTCCCCCACACCATTACACCACCACCACCAGCCTGAACCGCTGATACAAGGCAGGATGATCCATGCTTTCATGTTGTCTGAGCCGAGCATCTGAATGATGCAGCAGAAATGGAGACTCATCAGAGCAGCAACGTTTCTCCAATCTTCTATTGTCCAGTTTTGGTGAGTCTGTGTGAATTGTAGCCTCAGTTTCCTGTTCTTAGCTGACAGGAGCGGCACCCGGTGTGCTCTTCTGCTGCTGTAGCCCATCCGCCTCAAGGTTGGACGTGTTGTGTGTTTAGAGATGCTCTTCTGCAGAGCTCGGTTGTAACGAGTGCTTATTTGAGTTACTGTTGCCTTTCTATCAGCTGGAACCAGTCTGGCCATTCTCCTCTGACCTCTGGCCTCATTAACAAGGCATTTGCGCTCACAGAACTGCCGCTCACTGGATATTTCCTCTGTGTCGGAGCATTCTCTGTAAACCCTAGAGATGGTTGTGCGTGAAAATTCCAGTAGATCAGCAGTTTCTGAAATACTCAGAGCATAATATATTATGGAGTACTGCTCAGTTCACAGACCATTGCTCTTTGCATTTCTCGGAGGTATTTTGCATAGCATATCATCTAAGGATGACCCTTGAGTGGAAAGAAGATGGATGGCATCCATGCACCAGCACATTTAGACATATAAAGTTGTCTAGTATTTCTTTCTAGTTAATCTAGATAAGAGACGATCACTCAGATTTGAAGCTCTCCATTGGTCAGATCTGGCATATCATTTATAAAGCTTTGCCTTGAGACGTTCCTAGAAGTGAATGTGTGCCAGAATATATATTTATTTTTTAATGATTATGACTCATATGATGATTAAAGTGCTTCAAATGACATTAATATTTCAGTGCTCCTATTAATGTAGTTTTTTGCATGGGAAGTCCAGTACCTACACGTCTACCCTCATTTTCTACATAAGCAGCATTTATAAACCAGACCACTGGATTTTGCACGGTCTGTCCTCTAAATGTAGAGAGTGCTTTAATGGTCACAGCTGAAGTTCATAAGGCTTCATCTGATTAACTCTCAGGTTTTGGTCAAGCTCAGATTAAACTTTGAGTGACCACACAGAGTCCGGATTCTTCATTTCACCTCTGCACCTTTAACCAAATGTAGGTCGATCTGCTGCATCCCAGTGAGATTTCAAGAGCACAACAGTGATGAAGAGCACATGCTTACTCTCGCTGTAATTATTATGGGATGGACGAGGCTGTAATTACAGTTACTCCTGAATATGTTAATCATGCACATAAAAATGTAGTTTTTGTCTCGTTTCTTGTCCAAAAATCTACAAATTTGGAAATCAAGAAGCATTTTCTAGACAAGCAAAAAAAAAAAAACTAACCCTGAAATTGTCATTTTTTAAACTAATGAGTCAAAATGAAGTGAGTTTTTATTTAAAACAAGCAAAATCATCTGTCAATAGTTTTAGTAAAATAATCTTGTTTTTGCTTTGAATAAACATTTCATAATGAGTCAAAATGAAGTGAGTTTTTCTTCCCCCGTTGTCATAATATTTGGCTTGTTTTAATTTGAACTCTCTTCATTTTGGCTCATTATTATATATTATTATATATTATACATTTTCTGATAGTCTAGAAAAAGCTTCTTCATTTCAGAATTCTTAGATATTTGGACTAGCTTTTATTTTCAGCTTAGTTCCTTTATTAATCTGGGGTCACCACAGCGGAATGAACCGCCAACTTATCCAGGACTTGTTTTACACAGCGGATACCCTTCCAGCTACACCACAGACAATTTAGCTTACCAAATTCACCTGTCCCGCATGTGTTTGGACTGTGGGGGAAACTGGGGCACCCGGAGGAAACCCACGCCAACATGGGGAGAACATGCAAACTCCACACAGAAACGCCAACTGACCCAGCCGAGACTCAAACCAGCAACAGCACTGGTTTGTGCATGCTGTGAAGCGACAGCAATACCTACTGCGCCACCGCGTCGCCAAGTTTTTAATTAAAACAAGCAAAATAATCTGACGATGGGGTCAGCTAAACATCATTTCAAAGTGAAGACTAGGTTATTGGCAGATTATTTAGCTTGTTAAAGTAGCCATGATTTTACATATTTAGTATTATTTGTTTAAATTATGGTTGGCTATTTGTATTAAAACTAGAGTGCTAATAAAGCATCTCATAAATATAACTGGTGTGTTAAACTTTATTTCTGTAGGTCTGATTACTTGAGAGTAATAAATTTGTGCAATAAAATTGCAGGTTAACTATGTCTGTATATAATAACTTATATTTGATTGTAACTTAATCTGATTGTAATGCAGTGATATGCACCTTTTTAAAGCTGCTTTAATATAGTAATTATTGTAAAAAGCACTATACAGATAAGCCTGAATTGAACTGAATTGTTTAAGCTACAGTAAACTGTGATAGTGGGTTTGTAATCCTTTGCTGCCTCTTGGTGTTTGATAGAGGAATTGCAAGTCAGATGAATCCAAAATGAATCATTTATTATATCAAAACCCGTACTTTAACAGAGGTAAACATCAAAAATGGTCAATTAATTACCTTCAATGCACTGATTAATGTGCACGCCCTGAAATCTGCATAAAGTCAAACATCTTAAAGGGACAGTTCACCAAAAATAATGAAAAATAAACCCTCCGTTTATTCATGCTCAAGTGCTGGTAAACATTCATGAGTTTGTTTCTTCTGTCGAACACAAATGGAGATCATCTGAAGAATGCTAAACAATCTGACACCAATAGCAGAAACAAAAACATTCTTCAGTAGATTTTTCTTTACGTTTAATAAAGGAAAGAATATTAGTAGCACACGTTTGGAAAATCTGATCGTCTTATTTATTATAATTTTTTTTGGTAACACTACACTTTGGGTGCACTAATATGCATTAATTAATGCTTAATGTATAACACAAGAAGAGCCAAATCATTAATTAATGACTAGTGTGTGAGCAACAAGCCAACATTCTTTATGAGTCATACATTAATTAACCAATCTATAAATTAATGAACAGTTTCTGTATTGTTTTGTGTTTATTTACAGTCTGAACTGCATTATGGGATGTTGATCTCTGCACTGTCCACTTCTGATGCTGAAAATTCAACTCTTCAGTTTAATAAAGTGTCTTTCATTGACATTTTAGTGGTTTGAAATAATAATATAATGAATAAGAAATAATATCTGGAGAAACAGGTCTGTAAGACAGCAGAACATGTGCTGCAGTTTATTACAAGGTTTCTGTGGCGTAATTTACAACACAACATTCAATCGTTTTCCTTCAGCTTAGTCCCTTATTTATCAGAGCTCGACACAGCGGAATGAACCACCAACTATTCCAGCATGTGTTTTACACAGCGGATGCCCTTCCAGCTGCAACCCAGTATTGGGAAACACCCATACACACTCATTTACACACACTCATACACTACGGCCAGTTTAGTTGATCAACTCCCTCTATAGCGCATGTGTTTGGACTGTGGGGGAAACCGGAGCACCCGGAGGAAACCAACGACAACACAGGGAGAACATGCAAACTCCAACAAGACAATATATCACTTTAAACTATTCAAAATGTTTAAGAAAGTCACTTTTTAAATACTTTTCAAGTCTAAAATGTCACCCTGCAGCCTAAGAGCATAAGAGCATGCCCCTCACTGAAGCTGAGCAGGGCTGAGCCTGGTCAGTGTCTGGATGGGAGACCACATGGGAACGCTAGGCTGCTGTTGGCAGTGGTGTTAGTGAGGCCAGCAGGGGGCGCTCAACCTGCGGTCTGTGTGAGTCCTAATGCCCCAGTAAAGTGAAGGGAACTGTCAGTGAGACATTAAACCGAGCTCCTGACTCTCTGTGCTCATTAATAATCCCATGGCTCTTCTGGTAAAGAGTAGGGGTGTAACCCTCCCTCCATCAGCACTTACCCATCATGGCCTCCCAATTATCCCCATCAACTGAATTGACTCCATCACTGTCTCTCCACCACACCTGTATTTCAGACCCGTCTCCCATATTGTTTTGTCTCCCGGAAAACTCCCGGAATTCCACCCCCACCCCCTGCTCCTCAGCTTTTTGGTACATTCCCCATGCACACCGAACCCAACACACAACCATCTTCATGGATCTGATCACAGCAGCCGCCCGAAACACGCTTCATCGTACAGTTACTAACACCACAGTTCACAATACCCGGTTCTCAACAGTGTTATTCAGACACCTCACCCCCAAACTTAACCCATCCAAGACTTTCAGGGACAAATGCTGTCAGGTGTGCCTATAGCTGATGTGTGGTGAAGCACTGGTGCCGTTGTCCTGTGGCTGCCGGAGCATCATCCAAGTGATGGCGATGTGTTTTAGGTGTATAGTAATGCACGATATGTGCGCTATATAAATACACCTGACTTATGTACTTTCTAAAAGTTGTAGTGAAGAAAGCTCGAGATCCCATAATGCAATTCAGAAGCAGAAATAAACAGGAGACAATAATAATCACCAATCAGCAAACATGTCCAAGTGCTGCGGTCACAGTTCACAATAAGCTTTCATTAGCTAATACTAGTTAATGTGTTTACTATCATGAACTAATACAGAACAGTTCTCATACAGCATTTATTAACCATCGTTCAACATTTACTGATGCATTAATAACCTCCAACCTCATGCATGTCAACATTACTTAATGCACCGTGAGCAACTAACAACAAATGCTGTAATAGAGAATTGCTCAATATCTGCTCCTCTTAGTAAATACATTAACACACATTAACCATAGAACCTTATTGTGAAGTGCTACCGCTGCTCATTTAGGGATACCTCCTACAGTGTAAAGTGTCACCATGTTTGCTCGTCTTTCTCTGGTGTGTGTGTGTGTCTCAATCTCTCCATTGGAGCCCCAGAGTGTGTGCGATGAAGGAGAAGATGTGTGTGTCCTCCAGGATGGCTTTAGCGGTGGGTTTTCCGGCTCCGTGTCCGCTCTTGGTGTCCACGCGCACCAGCAGAGGTTGTTTTTGGGCTGGATTTCGGCCCACAGTGTGCTGGACGGTCGCCACGTATTTGAGTGTGTGTAGAGGAACCACGCGGTCATCATGATCCGCCGTCAGCAGCAGCAGAGCGGGAAACACCGGCCCGTTGCACTGCGGGAGATTGTGCAGAGGAGAATACCTGGCAACACAACATGTCACTAAGGTTATTACAGTTTCTCACTCATAACCTTTATGTTGACTTACGACTCAAAAATGACCCAGACACTACACACACACACACACACACACACACACACACACACCACCAGTCAAAAGTTTGGGGTCAGTAGGATTTTTCAATGCTTTAAAAAAAGCTTCTCCTGCTAACCAATGCTGCATTTATTTAATCAGAAATACATTGTGAACTTGTAAAATGTTATTGCACTACAGAATAACTGATCAGAAGTAGTTTATAATTTATTTGAATAATTTATTCCAGTGATTTTACTGATGAATTTCCATTACTTCAGTCTTCAGTCATATGATCCTTCAGAAATCCCTCTAATATTATTATTATTATTATTATTATTATTATTATTATTATTATTATTATTATTATTATTATTATCATAATTATTATCATAATTATTATCATTTTGTTATTATTATTAGTATTAGTATTATTTTTATTTTCATTATTATCATCATTATTGTTATTATTTTATTATTATTATTATTATTATCATAATTATTATCATCATTATCATTATTGTTATAATTATTATTAGTATTATTATTATCATTATTATCATCATCATTATTGTTATTATTATTATTATTAGTATTATTATTATCATTATTATCATCATCATTATTGTTATTATTATTATTATTATTATTATTATTATTATCATCATCATTATTGTTATAATTATTATTAGTATTATTATTATCATTATAATCATCATCATTATTGTTTTTATTATTATTATTTTTATTATTATTATCATTATTATTATCATCATAATTATTGTTATTATTTTTATTATTATTATTATTATCATTATCATTATTGTTATAATTATTATTAGTATTATTATAATTATTATCATTATTATCATCATCATTATTGTTATTATTTTATTTTTATTATTATTATCATCATCATTATTGTTATAATTATTATTAATATTATTATTAGTAGTAGTATTGTTATTATTAATATTATTATTATCATTATTATTGTTGTTGTTATTATTATTAATAATATTGGTAATAATAATAACTGGAGTAATAATTTCATAAGGAAGCAGTTATTCAAAATTTTTATAATATTTAACTTTTTTTCATTTTATAAATGCAGCCTTGATGAACAGAATCCTTTTTTTTTTTTATCATTTTCTTCACTTTTGACTGCCGTGGTTGGTTAAACGCACACACTCCTTCAGTGGTGGTAGTGATAATAAGACATCAGCTTTACTTGATGAGCCACTGAAACTGCTCCGGGTCATCCGAGCAGCCGTAGTCTGTGGTCCAGGCGTGACCGATGGTGAATTTGTGGAACTTGAGCATGTCCATAACACCGACCTCCATTACTGCACAGCCGAAGAGCTCAGGACGCTGGTTTACACACGCAGCTGACAACAACACACACACACACACACACACACATGTTATAGAATAAGCAAACAAAGTCTACGTTTACCTGAAACACACACACACACACAATCTAAAAAATTGTTATTTCAAACCAATTTTGGCTACGTTATAGACCAGGGGTGTCCAAACCCGGTCCTGGAGAGCCGCTGTCCTGCATATTTTAGTTCCAACCCCAATCAAACACACCTGATCCAGCTGATCAAGCTCTTACTTGGTTTACTGGAAACTTCCAGGCAGGTGTGTTAAAGGAAGTTGGAGCTATGCAGGACACCGACCCTCCAGGATTGAGTTTAGACACCCCTGATATAGACAACACCAACTGCTGGGTTCATTTGTTTAATGCAATTTTAAGGACCTCATTCAGTTTGGGTTCATATTTTACCCAGTTTGAGTTGGAATAACCCAGATTTGTTCGTGCACATGCTCATATCTAGATTTGAGATGACGTATTGTGATATTAGATATATGAGATATGATCCGGACTCTAGCAGCTGTGTTTTGTACCATCTCTAAGTGATTTAAGGAGCAGGTTCCGGCTGCAGATGCAAGCTTAGCTGCATGCAATGCTTTTAATGCGCACACATATCCCGCCCCTCACCATTGAGCTCCAATGAGTGCATTGTGTCTGAGACTGCATGTCAGAATCTGTGAGCACATGTGGAGACACCAAACACTAGTCAGACCCACGGCTGACTGACTGATTGGTGTGTCTCGGCCATAAAGAAGAATGACTGATGCCCAGATAAAGCATTGTGAGTTTTCTCTGCTGTTTGTCATAATGATGAAGGTGTGTGTGTGTGTGTGTGTGTGTGTGTGTGTGTGTGTGTGTGTGTGTGTGTGTGTGTGTGTGTGTGTGTGTGTGTGTGTGTGTGTGTGTGTGTGTGTGTGTGTGTGTGTGTGTGTCTGTGTGTGTGTGTGTGTGTCTGTGTTTTACTCACCCACTAGCAGGCCACCATTGGAGGCTCCGTTGATGGCGATCCGGCTGGCAGAAGTGAAGTTCTGCTGGATCAGATACTCGGCTGCGCTCTGGAAGTCATCGAAACAGTTCTGCTTGTTCCCGAGAGTCCCCGCTGAAAACACGACAGCTCACCTGTGAGTTCAGCCTCATAACACGGTCAGCTCAGGTTCACTCAGAAGACACACATGAAACATCATTCTATTTAATAAGGGACGAACTTTACAAATGACTAATGATAAACTAATAACAATAATAATAAAGTATTTATTTATTTACTTATTTAAGCATTTGACGTTTTATTGGTCTCTATTCTACATAATTATATTTAATTAATTGTTCAATAGGAAAAACTGAATATGTATCTATAAATATCTATCTCTATCCATCCATCCATCTATCTGTCTGTCTGTCCATCCGTCCATCTATCCAACCATCCATCCACCCATCCATATATCTATCTATCTATCTATCTGTCTGTCTGTCTGTCTGTCTGTCTGTCTGTCTGTCTATCTGTCTATCTGTCTGTCTATCTATCTATCTATCTATCTATCTATCTATCTATCTATCTATCTATCTATCTATCTATCTATCTATCTATCTATCTATCTATCTATCTATCTATCTATCTGTCTGTCTGTCTGTCTGTCTGTCTGTCTGTCTGTCTGTCTGTCTGTCTGTCTGTCTGTCTGTCTGTCTGTCTGTCTGTCTGTCTGTCTATCTATCTATCTATCTATCTATCTATCTATCTTCATCTGTCCATCTATGATATTTATCTTTATCCATCCATCCATCCATCCATCCATCCATCCATCCATCTATCTATCCATCTATCTAATTATCCATCCATTCATCTATCTGTCCGTCTATCCATCCATCCATCCATCAATCCACCCATCCATCCATCCATCCATCCATCCATCTATCTATCTAATTATCCATCCATCCATCCATCCATCCATCCATCCATCCATCCATCCATCCATCCATCCATCCATCCATCCATCCATCCATCCATCCATCCATCCATCCATCCATCCATCCATCTATCCATCCATCCATCCATCCATCGGTCTATCTATCTAAGCATCCGTCTGTCCGTCTCTCCGTAAATCTGTTAGTGTGTTTGAGTGTGTGTGTGTGTGTTAAACTGTACTCACCTTTGTGCCAGGTCTGGCCGTATTCTCCTCCTCCTCTAATGTTGGCGATGGCCAGGATTCCCCCCAGATGCCTGATGAACAGCAGATACGCCGTGCTGGAGGAGGAACATCAGGTTACTTCTGAACACTGACCTCTCACACATGGACATCTCTCTTATTCTCTCTTCTTTACTGAAACACACTCTGTGCTTGATACTAACTTATAGTGCGGCTGAATGGAGTGCTCGAATCCTCCGTAACCGTACAGAAACACCGGGTGAGAACCATCTTTCTTGATCCCACGCTGATGAACCAGGAACATGGGGATCTGTGTGCCATCTTTACTAGGGTAAAACACCTGCGTGCACACACAAACACACACACACATTACACATCACCTATACTGAGCAAACATGCACTGCAAAAAATGCTGTTCTATTCCAGCATATGTTTTACACAGCGGATGCCGTTCCAGCTGCAACCCAGTATAGGAAAACACCCATACACACTCATTCACACACACTCATACACTACGGTCAGTGTAGTTGATCAGTTCCCCTATAGCGCATGTATTTGGACTGTGGGGGAAACCGGAGCACCCGGAGGAAACCCACACCAACACGGGGAGAACATGCAAACTCCACACAGAAACACCAACTGACCAAGCCGAGACTCACACACACACACACACACACACACACACACTGTTATCTCCTCATGCTTGTATTTTGTTATAGTCTGTGTATGTGTGTTAGTGTTAGTGTGAGTGTGTGTACGTGTACGTGTACGTGTGTGTGTGTGTGTGTGTGTGTGTGTGTGTGTGTGTTTGTGTGTGTATGTGTGTCTGTGAGTGTGTGTGAGAATGTCCATGTGTCTGTGTGTATGTGAGTATTTGTGTGAGTATTTGTGTGTGTGTTTTTGTGTGCATGCATGTGTGTGTTTGTGCATGTTTTTATTTGTATGT